AAAAAAAAAAAAAAAAAAAAAAAAAAAATTAAAAAAAAAAATAATAAAAATAAGATAAAATTTTGAAGGCACTGAATCATCATATTATCGAATCTGTATGGAAATATTGGAGTAAAGTTGCAACTAATCCCACACTTTCATTAAAACCAACGATTTTTTAGCCTACACATATACCCCTTGCATATGCCCCCATAAGCATGAGATTCTTACACACATTGTGCTTTAAAAAGTTTTTGCCTCATCACAGCGGTTTTCAGAGTTTTTTAAGCTTTTTGCAAATTTTTTGCATCCCATTCCACATTTTTCCACACTTCATATTAGTAATGCACTTAAGTATATAAGCTCTACTACTTAGTACTTAATAATAATAAGCTCTGTCCTTTCCTGCTGTGGTACGAGACATCGTTTATTACAAAAACTCAACCACCTCACACTTTACGTGCTAGTCATTATCACACACAGCCACACACACACACACACACACACACACACACACACACGACAATTTGGTCTGCCAACATGCTTTTTGGCGCTGTCAACGCTCTTGATTCAGGCATTTTTTCACTTCCTGATCTGTCGCTGTTGCCTGCGGCTTGGCGCATGTCGTACGTGTCGGCATTTATGCTAAGTACTTAGGTACAAAAAGTGGATATAAATAGGTGTTGGCTGAGCGGTGTGGTTGGCTTACAAGGATTTGCTTGATAGCTTTTTTTCATATATGCATATTGCAGGCATTTGTGGTGGAGCATTCCAGCTTAATGTTGAAATGGATATGAAAGACGTGTTAGTAATGAGCAGAATTGAATATGAGAAAAATTGTTACTTTACGTTTTATGGAGAGAAGGTATGTCTGGATTGGTAAACTGATTCTGACACTGAGTAGACATGCTTAGAGGCAATATAGTTAGCTTTTATTTATACTCATTTATTTAAGTAAAAATAATTGTTGTCAAAAACTTTAACATTTCGATATAATTCATAATTTTCTTTTTAGGAACACTTTACATACAATATAAAAAAAAAATATATATATTATTTTTTTATAAAAATTTACATAACCTATTTACTGATTGATATTAATTTTTTCAAGTTTTATGCTGTATGCTTTAGAATCCATAGTACATTTATTGAAGACAAATGTTACTCATACGACCTGTGCCACTTTACAAATTGAACAATTAGAAAATTTCCTGTGCAGTATATTAAAATAATATACTATATTAAAAAGCAAAATATTTATATAAAGCAGTTTTAACATCATCTTTTCGTAGATTGTGTAATATATCAGAACTTTACAAAATGTTACTCATACGCCCCAAAAACACAGCACGTTAATGTTGTCTTATGATAAAAAAGGAATGATTTGGAATAATTGGAGGATTCATATTTCCCTGTAAAGTTATAAAAAAAAGAAAATTTACATATATGGAAAACCTTGAGTTTATGAGCAGTCTAGTGTATAACTTACAATCGATGTGGATTATAATTCATCATTGAGCTTTCCATCTTGAAGCGCTCAACCTTGCATATTAAATGCCTATTGTTTCAAAAGATCGCAAAAAGGTTATTAGTAGATCTATACTAGATTAAATGGAACTGCCTATCAGAGTTGCTTATGAGTCTTTCAACATAGGCATGCGTGATATAATTCTTCTCTATTTCAACTGATATGACCCTTGATATCAGCTGATATAGCATTCAAAAAATTAATTAATCTTCTTAGACCTCATGATCCAAAAGTATTTGTAATTATGGTCTTTATATATTTGGGACCAAGCAATTAAATTTGTGTAAATTGCAGCGACCTTCCTTGTGGACTACAGTCAAACGGTATCCCCTTAATGCTGTCAGGAGTCCTCCTCAGAAAATGGTCTATTGAGCACAAGTTTTCTTCATTTTACTTGATTGAGTAAGAGTTACTCTTTCGTTAAACTCCACAACGCTTGATGGTTTATAGTTGCGGGTCAGAATATTCTGCAGATGATTCACTAACAGTTGTTGATGCTTCGAGTCTCTGAATGATGCAGTTTAAGACCAGCCAAGCTTCGCTTCCAATCTACATCTTTAACTTTGAAGAATACAATGAACTTCTGTTAAAGTGTGATAGTAAGAAAATGTGTAGATTCCATATGATAACTGTGTTTGTGTTGTGTTTGTCCGGAAAGTAATAGACATCGCAGAGTACGCGCACGAACTCGATTCGGTGAATGCCGTTTCTAGCTAACGAACGAGCGGCTGGTTGTTCCCGAGTAACTGGTCAGTCAAGACAAACGTTTTCGCCCGACGTCTTTCTGTGAATGGTGCAAGCCGAAAAAAGCCCAGATGTTGCCTCCCCGAACTTTTTTTGGTTTCCTTTCCTGAAAATGTCGATGAAAGACAAGAATTTTGAGACGACAGAGTGGATCCAAACAGCATGCACCTCAGGCTATTCCGGAGAATGCCTTCCGTGACGTCTCCACTGATTGGAAATCCCGTTGGCAGCACTGCATTGATGCAAAAGAAGAATATTTTGAAAGTTTTTAAAGAACTGTCAATAATTTTTTTTAAATCGACTCAGTGCTGCTACTTTCCGGACAAACCCTGTTTTGTGTGTATTCAGTGATCATGACTGGAAGAAAAAGAAAAAAAAGGAAGAGAAGAGAGGAGGCAGCTTTGTCTTACTACGGTGTTTGAGATGAGAAATGTGTGGATCATTAATAGATCAGCTTGTTGCTGTCTTGGTTTGGCATCCGGTAACGATCTTCTCCACTTTCGACTATCATAATGTCATGTTGTCAATAAGGCTGCAAAATTCTCATTGTACGAAGTCTGTGTTTACTCTTGAATTTACTTAGAAGGAAAGATGGATCTGCCAATGATCTGCGGAAATGACTGGAATAACGAATCAATGTTAAAGTCATAAACAAAGAACGTTCTAGATTCCACCTAACAATTCATGTGACGACAAGGGGTTAGGGTCAATATTACTTTACTAGCCCTGATCGCACTGTCAGCCACTCTGCTTAGAAGTATTAAATCTACATCTACCGGAAAGGCTACTACTTTCGCTTAAAAGACACTGCACTGGCCTCTTCGCCTGGAGAGCTGTGAGTAGAAAAATCCCTCTCCCCCTCTTCATATCTATTTTTAACATCGCGTCCACATATCCCTGCTAGATTCAAGTCATCAGAGATTCTGTCGAAATTGCGGAGGTTTCCTGGAGATCCCTGATTGGTAACCATCATGTACCCAACTTTCAAGGTGGTCCACTTTAAGTGAGCCCCAATTTCCTTACTCCATTCTCAATATTTTTTGTCCTTGAAAGCATCCTATTCAGGACAAGTCCTTGTCTATTTTAAGTTATCCGCATGACTTCTCCAGACCTTAATTAAATGATGGCTTGCAACAATTTAGAGGAATTGGGTTAAATTATCGTTCATAAACTTCAAATAAAAGAATCATTCAGAATTTAACCTTTAATGCCGACTGAGATAAGCATTTGATGAAGGTACTCTGGTCCATAAAAATTTGTATAAATGGGTATAGGCTACAAATATTCAAAAAATTTTAGTATGTCTCATGGGAATCGGGTTTGATAGGAAAAAATACATATATATTTTTTGAAGATTTTAAGTATGAAGTTCTTTGGAAGAAATCCTTCTACAGAGCATGTGTTACGCTTTAAAGTGGGAAAAACAGGACTGTTGATTAATCGCCAAAACTTTGAAAGTAGTAAGATTGCCGGTACGCTGATTCCTTTCAGAAAGGGTCTAAGTGAGAGTATATATAATATGTTATATATATTATAAGCCAATCGCATGTTCATAACCGAAAAACCCACGGGCAAGCCCGTTTTATGTACTCTTCCACAAATATCGATGTAATTTTGTAAACAGAGATAGCTTTAAGTGTCGCTTGAATCTTGGTGAGTAAGGCAACACTCCCATTACTATTGTTTTGTTGAAGATTTATCTCTACATACCGATTTATGACAAGGACAATTTTGCAACCTTTGTACTAATGTCTTCCGATGTTTTTGAGCCCTTAGTGTACCAGTTAATAGTTTTATCTCGTAGTATCAAGTCTGGAGTGACCTCATTCAGCTTCACTGTCTAAGGTAAATTTAAATTCCTTTGTAATACCTGAATTTTGGTAATTGTGCTGCAAGTGATGTTTCATTACGTAGAGCCCTCATTTGTTGGAAATATATCAGTTTCCCACTTCCATGCCTTGTTTGATAAATTACCAGGTGAAGCGGTGTGAGTTCCAATATGATTTGTAGTGCTGCCGTCAGCCGCGCACACATGGCACCCCTTTGCACAGACGCTCAAGGTGAAAGTTCTAAGGTCCGGCAGGAACTTTGTATTGGTAAACGGAATTTTAGTCATATATGATGGATTGATGTTCAGTCCAACCATGCTGTACCACACTTTGTCAGATCAAAACTTCTTTGCAAGGTATAGCAAAGAGTGTTCTCGAATTTAACTCTAGCTAAAACTCTTAACAATTCATTCTATTGTTGGATTGTATCTCAGGAAGCTTTTCCATGACTAGTGTTCATAATAAGTAGGACAATGCTTTCGGGCTACCTCTTGCTGTATAGTATCTGCTAACATAATCTAACCTAATTCTAAGGAGGTCTCATCTATCCTAGTGCTTAGTATATGGCTATCCATCTTTGTACTGGTTTTGCCACATTTTTCTTCTTTAGTGCTTTTGTAGCACTTGTGTTAGACGAAGCTCTTACGATATGTGCAGTGAATTTTCGATTCCCTCCGTTAACTAGTACAGAGCAATATTAGTTGACCTGCTCTGTAAGCATGTAAAGAATATGTAATCCAAAGCATAGGCAGAAAATGAATGAAACGGTACTGACTACATTGATTATTACTAATTATTTAATATTGAATTATATTTTATATGAAACATATACAGCTTTTGTTTGATAAAAAAATACACATATGCACCTAAGGCAAATTAAATTTAGATCTCAATTAAAGATGAAAATCAAAACAGTTTCGAAATGCACACCACATGCCGCTGCAACACGCCGAAATGCGCCAATTAAGTGTTGCTGCAACTACACACCGGATGGTGGACACAAAGCAGAATGTAGTTGCAACAAGCCAACGTTGGTGGCCAACCAACCGACGCAAGCATTGTCTGCAACCAATGTTGCCACAACTGTCCGCTACTAGCCGGCCAGCGGCAGCCTCGTTGATGTCTTTGTTTTGTTGATGTTGTTGTGTTTGGCTGGACACATGCTTGCGCAACACACTATATCGTTGGCAAATGATGTTCGGTGCGATGGAGCAATGTGGCATTCTTATTAATCGGTTGCAGCTTCACATAGTCCGCATGATGATGCGACAGCTGGGTGTTGGTCAGCAATGGAAGCGATGTGTTTGAAGTCTATACAAAGAGAGAGGGGGAGAAAAATGTTGAAAACGATGAACAAACTGAAAATGACACAAATAGACGTGGCAGAAATGTGCGCCAATTTTCGTAAAAATGCGCAAAATTGCCAGTTACTGTTAGATTGCTGCAAAATTGCTGCCACTTTTTAGTTTTGTTGTTGTTTTTTGATAGTTTTTCATTTGGCCATTACCTTAGATTTGTCACGCGCCGCCTGCGCTGCCAGTAGCAATGGTGTTTGCTGTTGTTGTTGCTGCTGTTGCTGGTGATGTTGCGCCTGCAGCGGTGTGTGTTGCTGTGATTGTGGCTGCAATTGTTGACTATGCGGCTGTAGCATCAAATGTTGTTGCAACTGTTGTTGTTGCTGCAGCAATTGTTGTTGTCGTTGTAGTGCGGCCGCCTCGAGGCTATTAACATGCTCCAGTTCACGCTGTTTGGCCACGTAATCATCGAAGTATGAGTGTTTGATGAGCTTTTCGCAGGACCAACGCTTGGCCGGATCCTTGTCGAGGCATTTCTGCAAAGGCAAACGTAAGCAATTTGTGAGTGTAATGGAGTTTCGCTTCTCTTCTACTATTTATCTACAGTTTCTATTTGTTTTGCTACTATGATTTTCCAAATTTTTTGAAAAATTCGCTGTTTCTTTTTAGATGTGTGTACTTACTTTGAGAAAGTCTATGGTGAGCGGATTTTGTAGTGATTTTGCTGGCATTTTGTCTTCGAGCGGCTCCAGCGTTGGCGGCACCGGTAATGTAATGCCCTAAAGACAAAGAAAAATTCGCATGAACAATTGAATTGTGGATATTTGAGTCAGTCATAGTTTTTTTGATATTCGCGCGAACCAAATGGTTTTGATCATAATGCAAAGTAAAGGAATTTTGAAAAAAAAAAGAAAAAAAAATATATTTTTAGCGTCAAAAGTACGTAGTGTGTTATACATGACCCTCCTTAAAAACTTTTGTGGTAAAAATTTGAAAAAAAGAGCTAAGTATGTCCAGTGAACTTTTCTCAAGACAATTTGTGTCTCTGACTTTAGTCTATTCAGCCGATTAACTGGTTCGCTAACCGTTCGGTAACCGTTCCCTAACCATTCGCTAACTATTACTTTCCCATCACCTAAAAAATTTAGTTAATATTATATTTAAAAAAAAAAGAATTTCGCATAAAAATGACACAGACCCGACTATATAAAAAATTATTTTTACAGTTGAGTGGGTGCTGTAAAGTATCGAGAAGGGTACGACGAAAAAATTGTATATTTTCCTTTGTGATGCCATAAGATTTTGTAGTACGAACCAAGCTTAGAATTATTAAGAGAACCATTAAACCCAACATGGCTGAGATTTCAATTGTGTGGTCAGAACAAATATTTTTGTCCTTTCTGTTAGTTAACCTAATAAAGGTTAAATGTGAAGCTATATTAAAGGGACTAGTAAAAGGAAACCCATGTTATTCCCTATTGTACTCTATAAAGTAATAGTTCTGAAATACTCTCGGTTTTGTAAAAAGAAATCCTCTATTTTTGAATGAAACTGAAGGCTTTATCTAAATTAGTTAGAATTATGCGATTTACACTAATTATACATGATTTTGTTCGAAACACTTAGCCATTTTGAAGTTAATTTTATAAGATTAATCACGTAGAAACCAGCGTTTCCATTGGCAAAAACTAATACTGTCGACTTCACAAGCTTCTCTTGAGAAGAAGTTTTTATCAGCAATATACTATATGCTTATCGCCATAGACAGGAACAGGTAGTAATTATTTGGTGTCAGGACCAAACTATAAAGTGTGTATGATCACCAGATCCCGGAACATTTGGTTTGCCACCCTTGAGGTGTGCGGCTTGGCGTTGTGCTGATAATAGATAATTCCTCTTCTATTACCCAAATCTATTTGCTTCGAGGCTGGTCTGTAAGATAAACCCTTGTTCTCATGGAACACAATTCCTCTTTTATTGGTCAAATCTGACTGTTTCTGGACGATTGCTTCCTACGATTTCGCCAATTATTGACAGGAACGGAACACGTTCTTGTACATATAAGTGACCAAATTACCAGTAATCCGCTTCAAAAATTTATTCAGTTTTTTTTGCGATTCAGTAGCGTTTTGCAGATAGAAATTCGGTGCATGAGGTTTTTGGAATTAAGTCGGATGGCGCTAATACATCGGTAGATTTTATATGGAGCTCTATTTAAAGGCTTTCAGTTAGTTTTGTTTTTTTTACTAAATTTTAGTTCCTGTTAGATCGAAGCAGTCTTGACATGACTGTCTGATTCCGAACACTTGACGATTTACTTAAAATTATCAATATTTATATTGATTGGCCTTCCAGAATGTGAGGTGACATAGCATATAGGACATCAAATTACTGGAACGGAATCGACGAATATAAAATTGTAAATAATTGTTTATCACAGTTTCAAGGCCATTCACATTTTTAGTCATTCTGATAGCGTTTTCGTTTTTACCGAAGAAAGACTATAAAATATTTCGTATTTACTCTTTGCTGAGAAGTTTTTCTGGTATAAAACCATAGCTTAGCCTTATAGCTTATACCGATTGCGCTTGTAGAGAAAAAGACAAAGTTTACTAGAACAATCACTTGGCAAAGGATTTCTTCTTACATAAATCTTAGATTATAAAAACGTCACAAAGAGTAAGGAAACACCAAGAAAACGCATTTCCGTGTTATTGATGTGCTTCTTAATCGTTGCTATATCATTGTAGCCCATTTGACACTATTGACACAAACTTTAGCTCATCTCTAAATGAAGCTTGCAAATTGTGGTATCTTTGGCAAATTCAAACATCGCTTTGGCGGATTCTAAAGTAATGGTTTTCGGTTTGGTTAAGTCATGTTATACTGGCCGGCTGTCACGCCATGCATAGACCTACTGGTCCTTAGCAATGCCAGATGGTGGTTCGTCATACAGAACATTCTAATCTGAATTTAGGATGTCAACGCTGTTTGCGAACTTTAAGAGCAACTTGATACCCAAATGTGATATTTCATCTATTCTCTTGAACTGCGTAGCTCCTAGATATCTAAGACGAATTGCAGTAGGGTGTGAGCTGTCGTTAGGCTAACAATCGCCCTGCAGTCATATCGAGGACGGGTGAGTAAAAATTATGCGTATTTTCCTTACTGAATTACTGAAGTTATCATTCAGTAATTGAAGTTTTAACGACTAGTAGTTAGCTTATACTCGAAGCTTTATACCAATGGAAGCTAATTGGCAAAACTGCATGGAGGAAAGGGATGAAAATCCTACTTTCGATAAGATTTTGAGCCACGTTATCAGTATTTTTATATTTTACAATAAACATTAAAATATAGGAAGGATATATCGTCCATTCCTCGTACGAAAATAAATAACACTTTACACTTTGCTCACCTTAAAATATTCATTTTGTGAGAAAATCTGTATATGCCGCGGCAGCAGGTCACCTAAAGTTTTGCGTATCAAATACAGCTGGTCCACGTCGCTGCGACCGGGCCACAACGCCTCGCCGCGTACCAGCTCCGCAAAGAGACAACCGATGGCCCACACATCCACAGCAGTGCCATACTGTGTATCGCCGACAAGCAGCTCCGGCGCGCGATACCACCGGGTGGCAACATAGTCTGTGTAATTCTCGCCAGGACCTGCAAGTGTCAAAGGAAAGAAGAAGAAAATAGTGTGATAAAATAAGTATAAGTAAAATAAAAGGGAATGAGATAAATGTTTGCGAAAAAAGATGGTGTCGGGGAACAACACAAAGGTGAGCGCTGTGCCACAATTGCATGCAACTTTTTTTTTTGTCTTCCGCTCTTAGTAGGTGCAAAATTTCTTTTCCTTCCCCTTTCTACTTACTCAGCATGCGCGCGAAACCGAAATCGCACAGCTTCACTTGTCCCTGCGCTGTCAACAGTATATTCTCCGGTTTAATGTCGCGATGCAGGCAGTTCTGCTTGTGACAATATGCCACACCCAGCAATGTTTGGTAGACGATCTGTTTGGTTAAATGCTCCGGACAGCCTTGCGGATGTCGCTCCAATTCGTGCAACACTGTCAGCTCGCAAAATTCAAATACCAAATGCAAACGTCGCTTACGCCGGAATACCTCCAGTAGTGAGACCAGATTGGGATGCTTCAGATTCTATGTGAGAAAAAGTAGAAAAAGACATGCAGATAACAGGAAACGTGCATTAGTTGTGAAATGGAAATAAATTGAAATTGAAATAAGGTAATTTCAAGATTGGAGAAGGCAAACGTCGGCTGACATTCGAAGAGGAATGTGCTCAAGCGATTGCAAGGGAAACATACGTTATAATATATGCGAAGGTGTGCATGCTTCTATTTCACTAACAATAGTGCCTGATTGTGGCTTTCACCAGTTGTCTCTAGATTTTCAGTGAAAATTACTCATGAACGCTTTTAGGAGATTTGTATGCAAGATAAGCTTCAGCCTTTTTGACAATATGTCAACCAAACGGGTATTTTATAAAGTATAAAAGTTCCCTCAGTTGTATATGAATATTAGGAGTATGAAATAGGCCGGTTGCACAATGTGTCAATAAGAGATTATTATTTTTTATATGCTAAGTGGGGTGTATTAGATTTGCCATGAAGTATGTATATAATGCTCAGAGTTAAACATCGGAGACCCTGTAAAGTATAATGACCAGCGTGACGAGCCAAGATGATGCAGCCATGTCCAGTTGCTGTCTGTATAAGCAAAAATTAGTCCCTCCGCTTTAGAAATTTCTGTTTTTCATTCTCATAAAGCCGTCATACAAACTGAGCGTACAAAACCAAATTCTTCTAAGGAAATCGATTTTATTTGACGAGATATGTTAACGATTCAATAGATTTGTGGTATATTATTTTCCACCGCAACGTTACAATCTCTGAACAGAAAACTCGTAACACCGACTCACGTAACATAATATTATCGTCGTCCATGCCTCTACACCATATAGCAGGACGGGGATGATAAAGTTCAGCCCATTTTATCGACGGTACGCTTTAATCTTTCACACAATACGTTCGATAGAAACTTATTGAGGAGGTTTAACGTAGTTTTCAAAGATTGCGGATTGGTTAGTTCACACTTAAATTCCAATCGTTGGGCATGCTCTCGTTGTCCATTTGAATAGCTCGGCTGGCAATCCATTGTCTCTCGCCGCTTTGTTGTTCTCCAGGAAAGTAATTGTTATTCGAACTTCTTCAAAGTCATCGATTGGGGAATCGGGTTCGCTTTTTCATGGCCTTATGCTTTTACTGCAAATCAACAGGCTGTAGAAGTGTTCCCTCCATAATTTTAGTATGCTCTGGGTATCGGTTACTAGATGCAACCTGGGGATACTACAAGCGTATGATCCAGTCTTGAAACATTCTGTTAGTTGCCGCATATTTTCGTAGAAGTTTCGAGCATTACCCCTGTCGGCCAGCTTCTCAAGCTCTTCATACTCACGCATTTCAGTCTCTCTCTTTTTCTGTCAGCAAATGCGTCTCGCTTCCCTCTTCAGCTCTCGGTAGCTGTCCCATCCCGCACGTGTTGTGGTCGATTTTAACGTTGAGAGGGGTAGGCAGTCTGTTTTTCTGATGCTGCTAAATTAACTATTTCTCTAGAGGGTATACGTTTTGCTCAAGATTTATTACAGAGTATTTTGTTTTTGTCTAAAAGCTGGTTTATTTGATCAACTTTCAACTTTTTCATCTGCATTCAAGTAATCATACCATATAACCGGTAGGGTTATCAAATGTTTTCTTGCAAGAAAATTTTCCGCCTATTCGGTGATGTAATATTTAGTTGAGTCTACTGGCGTTGAGTTGGTATTATAATTGTAATAGCAAAATAGACCGTAAAGGTAACACCGAGTATTCCGAATGGAAAGCCTTAGGTTTAAAAATCATCGGGTCTATATAACACTTTAGAAAATAAAATTCTTCAATTTCACAAAGGGAAGTATTAATATAGTGTTGTGAGAAGTCATGTTTTTATCTTATCTATCAAAGTTTGTACTCCAGATGTCGGATTAAATCTCCTGCATACTTTTTCGGTCCGTGGAAGCGTGTTTACGAGTTGGATTCTAAATAGAGAGAAGTATTAGAGTTTTGAATGTTGACCAGGTACTCCTCACATCATATCATAAATTGTAAATCTTTCTATTCTGCCGATTTTATAGTGTTTTAATAATTGCATATATTTTATGTGAAGATCAGAGACTGATGAGTCAACTTTATTACGTAATGGATTTAAGAGTATATTTCTCGCAAACCGCAAAAAATCAAAACTGGTCTATGCGTGGCCTAACATATTAATATAACTTAACCGAATCATAAATAAATGACCAATAAGATTGTCTGCTATGGTTGCATAAAAGTAGTACTGAATTATTGTCGCTTTAAATTAATTGAAGAATTAAGTTTATACTAACTTTCAACAGTCGAATTTCGCGTAACGCAATTTTTCTTATAGCCGGATCATCTTCCGATTCCACAAACCGTTTGACAGCTACTAAGGCGCCCGTTTCGCGATCACGACATTTGTAGACGACGCCATATGAACCTAAAAGACAAAGTAATTACTAAAAGCATTTTATAATTTTTTTTTCAAGATAAAAACATACCTTCGCCAAGTCGACTTAATTTCTCGTAGCGATCCATTTTACTGCTACCCTGAGGCCTAGAAAAATGTAAAAATTTGGATATTAGCCTAATGTTTTATTCAAATAGTTGATTAGTACGAATGAGATTCTATACATGTATTTTTTTTTTTTAATTTAAAGTAGGTGATTTAATAAAGAAGCAGTAGTGGTGCCAATAACTGGTTTGAAATTGGTACGAGTTTTTTGAATATACTTTTTTCATATAATTGTGGAACTTATCGATACGTTTTGTCTAGGTTTCTAGCCATATTTTCATTTTCTTAAAWTAACAAAATCTTTGAAAGTAAAAACTCGAGATTTTTCATAACATTTATACAAATTCTGTAAGAGGAACATCGAAAATTCGATTCTCCTATTATTAACGACTTATTCTGCTCGACTTGCTTAAGAGTACACATCAGCAACTTGGTATAAAGGAAAGGATATACCGCGAAACGGTATTTCAAGCTTCTGATGTACAGCTGCAACCAAAACCAACGGTTGCTACGATGATGATTGTCGTGACCCAGTGGAGAGAAACCGAGAAGTCGGAAAGCTTACCTCGCACAGTTGCGATCGATCACCACGAAGCGGGTTGAGAATCTACTGAGAGTTGTAGAGGGAAGCAACACGCATGTAAAAAAAAAAAAAAGAGTCCGAGCTTCAAGACCGGTTTCAAGACCGGGGCATACTCTTGTTTGACACAAAGGGGTGATCCAGTGACAGATATTGAGAGCATACCAAAGTTTTAGAGAGAACACTTCTCCAGCCTCCTTAGCTGCAGTGAAACACCTGGAAATGGCGAACTCGTTTCCCCAAACGATGATGATGGAACAGATTGCCCGACAGTGATGAGGTTCGAATAGCAATTACCCATCCGAAGAACAAAAAAGGAGGCAGAGCCCGAAGGATTACTGGACAAGCTGTTCAAACATGACGACGAAGTATTCCCGACTATTGGAACCTAAGTGTACTCTGCCCTTAGTTAAATTAATCTTCTTGCAAATTTTTTTATGTTCAACAAAGTAGTCCATTTTTCCTATTACCACAAAAAATTCATAGTGTTTCACAAGTTCATAATTTTTACCTATTTTACCATTGATTCTTACCTATATCACCATTAAATTGCTTGGCATAGCATTAAAGTTGAAAAATTATTAATTACCTTAAGCTCAAACTAGGGCCACGCAGCAAATTGGAGCGACGAGTTGGAACTTCTTTGCGTGGCAGCATTTTATAAGGACACATTAAATGATTTATATTTTTTTGTGTAAGCAATGTGTAAAGTTGTATGTGTGCAACGATCAATTAAATGGTGATTGATATCAATAAAGAGCGTGTAAAGCGTAAAAAACTGCAAGCGTTCTTGTGTATGTACAGCGATTTTTTTTGATTAATCCGTTATGGAATGCGAATTTAATGGTGGTTGGAATGATGAAATCGACGAGCGCAGCAGCAAAGCTTATGATTTAAGCAAAAAGTTGTAGAAATGAGTGGTGAGAAAATATTCAAAAGAAGAAAAAATTTAAATTTCGTGAGCACCGAAGTTATATTACCCTTCAGAGGTGAATTTCTTATAAAAATTATTTTATACAAATATTTTTGTTTTTGTTTTGTTTGGTCAGTTTGTAGAGTAGCTGTATGTTATGTGAGTACTGATGCGATCTGAAATATATGTTTGGTGATACTTGCATAATAACTCATGACAAATTTTATGAAGATTAATTGTCAAGTAAGAAAGTTTTTATGAAATAACTTGATTTTTATCGTTCAGTTTGTATGGCAGCGAGATGTTTTAGTAGTCTGATCTAAACAATTTCTTTACATATTGTAGCTTTGTATTGGGTTATAATTTATACCGAATTTCGTGATGGTATCTTATTAAATAAAAACGTTTGACATACAAAGACATGACTTTGATAGACCAGTTTGTATGGCAGCTGTATGCTATAGAAGTTCGATCTAAGCAATTTCTTCCAAGTTTGTAGAAATATCTTTAAAAATAATTTGTGCCAAATTTCGTGAAGATATTTTGTCAAATGAAAACGTTTTCCATATACGGACTTAACTTTGATAGGCCAGTTTGTATGGCAGCCATATGCTATAATGAGCCCATCTGCACCATTTCTTTAGATACTATAAAATGTCTCTTAATAATAATAAACTTGTGAGAAATTTCGTGAAGATATATTGTAAAATAAAAAGTTTTCCATACAAGGCTTTAATTTTAATTGGTCAGTTTGTATGACAGCTATATGCTATTGCAGTCCGATCTGAACAATTTCTTCAGAGGTGGCACTGTTGCTTTGGGCAATAATTCTCAAAAATTTGTGGGAAGATACCCCGTCAAACATAAAAGTTTCCCATACAATAATTCGATTTTTATTATTGAGGTTGTATGACAGCTATATGCTATAATGAGCCGATATAGTTGGTTCCGACAAATAAGTAGCTACATAAAGAGAAAAGAGCGCGTACTTCATTTCAGATCTCTATCTCGAAAACTGAGACCATAGTTCGCGTATATATAGACAGGCGGACGAACGGACAGATTGACATGGCTAAATGGACTTCGATAGTCACGGTAATAAGTTATATATATGTATATGTTTGTACTTTGTAGAATCACCAATTCTTGCTTAGAACTTTCGTGTCAAACTTAATATAGTCTGTGCAGGGTATATATATACATATATGAGAACGAGCGAAGAGAATTATATGAATTGCTTGCTGTTTTGCGAGCGAAAAGTGATGAGAAAAATTTAAAACTATTTTTCCATGCACTAAAGACCAAAATAATTTATTTACAGCAGTTTAAGTTGTAAGCTGCTTGCACGAATTGATTGCTATTTAATACTTGAGCTTACACACAGACACACATATATAGGCAAATATGCGCTCACATATACAGAACACAACGGTATTTTATGGATAAATGCATATATTGCAGGTGACAGTTAGTTAGCACAAACAGCTGCGCACCGGAAAAATCAATAATTCACATAGTTTTTTCATAAGCGCAAAGAAAATCGGAAAATTCCTGAATCACATATGGCTTTTCGGCATTTCAATGTCGTTAATGTCAGCGTTTTACCGAAAGGTGATTGAACTGCTTTGGTCGCAACTCGGTTGATGGTGTGGTGGGTTGTCCACCAACCGCAGCGGTTACTAATAAAATAATGCTGTTTTAATTGCACACTACTTCTGCCACACAAACACGACGGCAACAAATGCACACACACACACGTACGTGCGAATATCGCACTTCACTTGGCGTTTGTTATGTGACCGTAAAATATTTTCGCCTTCCTTTGCAGACGTTAAACTAGCGGTTTAGTGGCGTACAACAAACCGCACAGCTGTTGTTTGTGATACTGTTGCTACTTTTACGCCTGCAGGTATGCTACACCTACTGTTTTTCTTGGCCAGCTGCCGCTGTTGCTATATTATTCAACCCATTTTGCGCGCGTATGTATGCGTATGTATGCGTATGTGTGTTTGTGCTGTTATTACTTTTGTCCTTTAGTTATACATTAAATAGTGTTCTTGTTGTTTTTGCTTTGTTTTGTTTGCTGCTTTCGACAGCGCCGCGTATCGTAGCAATCGTTGCTGTGATAGCTTCAACCACAACAAATCGTTAAGCTATGCGGTGGTGGTGCGGTGTCGGTACGGTGGAGCTCATTCAGCTGCTCTGTGCTGTGCTTTTCTGCTTTACGTTATGAAGGCGTGCAGGTTTGTTCATGTTTTTTATTCATGAGTATGCTAAACTTTAGCGCAGCGTTTATGGCACAATTGCTTGTATTTGTTTTTTTTTTTTTTTGGAGTAATTGGCTTCAATCGAGTTATTTTCCATAAATTGAACATGCTAATTAACGGTGCATTGGAAATAGACATTTATGGCACTTAAAGTTCAATAAGAATACGGTAGAGAGACGAATGGATTAGTACTGGGTCGCTTAGTGAGACGCGTTCCAATGTTGAGGGCGAAAATTGAAAATGGGATTTCTTCTATCTTATAAAAATAAATCCATTACTTTTATTTTCGATTGCTTCAGCAATCTATCTTAATGAATTTTACAGTTTTTCTTCGATAAAGTCAAAATACAATTGTGGTTTTATCGCTTTCGTTCCTAAAAATTCGTTGTCAACGATGCACCACGCTCTGGAAAGTCAATTGTCGGAAATATTTACCGACCATTATCATGTTAACAGTATTTTGATTTCGTAGCTGAACAGTGTATAAAAATCCTTTTAAGGGGGTATTCTACCCTAGAATTTTGAAAAAATCGATTTTTTTCATATATTTAAAGTTTAGATCCTTAAGAATATATCCTCCGAAGAATTTTTAAAAATTAAAATTATTTTAAGAGCTACACTTACTTTAGTGTCGCAGTACCTAGCTCACTAATAAATGACTTAGACTGCCTGAAATTTGACTCACTTTTTTAAACGCGTTTTTCTCGAAACTACCTTTTTCCACACGGTACCGGCATCTTCTCAAGATTTATACAACCGATTTACTTGAAATTTTGTGCGAACCTTCTTTATATAATCCTTTATCGTTCCTACCAGTATCGTGTCAAAATTTTTGTTATTCATATTTAAAAAAAAATTCAGGAATTTCAAAAAAAAAGAAAAATGAGTTTTACTTTCAGGCAGTCGCCATTTAAAAAAAAAAAATTTTTTTCGTGTTCCCTGAGGTAGGGACTGTAGCAGCATCCTTACTGATTGAAAATTTTTTTTGTCAGACCACCAGGAGAATCAGGATTAATGTCACCAGGATGCGCCGTTTTTTTTACACCTGTCCCCCCTCTAATTATTTTATTTTTTAAAATTTTCTTGTAATTTTTTTTCTGTATTCTTAAGATATCAATAAAAAGCACCATAAAAAATGGACAGTACAAATTGTTTTTGGTATTTTTTTAAATAAAATTCCAAAAACTGGCCAAAAATTGATTTCTAGACTACAATACCCCCTTAAATAGGGATGTATCAGAAAGAAGATCGATGATTGGGACCACACAAGCAACTCATGGGCCGAATCTTCGCTGAATCGCAATAACATCGATCCATTTTTAAAGCCGAACTGGTGATGAAAAATCGGTTACTTACAATAACGTCAATGCGAAAATGGTCGAGTTTGAGGATTTACGGTCAGTAAAATATGCTATCTGTAGAAGTTCACGCAAGTGAAGAAGGTTCTCTGATCGCCATTTACTGGGGAGTGGCCAGATTGATATGGCTCAAGCAGATCTTTGACCAGGTATCCTCTGGGTAGCTTAAGAACATCCGTTTGAAAGCGAAAAATCCCGCTTTGTGCGCTGGGTTTCTGACCCGCCACGTAAAAAACACCCCCCAATTAAAAATAATAACCAGCCTCGGATGAAAACCCCCCTTTTGCTGACGACCATGACAAACGAAATAAGTACTACGATTTGAGGGCATGCCCCTGGAATGTCTGGTCCCTTAATTGGGAAGGTGCCGCTACTGAGCTGGTTGATATCCTCGTGAAAATAAAGGTTGACATCTTCGCCGTCCAAGAAATGGGCGAAACCACTCCAGCTCTGAAAGTATTCGACGAAGTACTCGCCGGGGGAAGCAGAGGAAGAGGAAGACCTCCACTCCGTTGGAAAGACCCAGTGGAGAAGAACGCGGCTTCGCCGGGAATCTCCAAGCACGAAGCAATCGCCTAGAAATTTCCAGCTTTGTTCAATAGGAAAGAAATAGTGATACATCAGTCCAGAATTCACGGGAGCGTGTTCATTATATAGTACATAAAGCTAGAGTTCGGTGTTGATATCAGTAATTACTACCTGTTTCTTCACGAGGGTTGTAATAAGTTAAATATTATGAATGATGTGGCAACGAGTTATCGAAAAAAAAATTTCGTGTTGCTACCATCTACTCCCCCTTTTTATGTATTCGCAAAATAATACGTCTTGGTTCTTGGTTAGATGACTAAATTTATACAGATAAGACTTCACTCACTTACAGATGGTGCTCGAGAGACGAAGAACGAAGCATTATTGCGCATGCTGAATAGTTTGTATCGATCCTATTAGAAAAAGTTAGACATAAAATTTAGCATACTCAGACTCCAAGTTATTTCCTCAATCACGCTATAAGAAAAGATCAGGCATAACGAGCCGTAGGAGGTCCACTGTAAGGACTTATGTCTCGTTTATTGAAATGAGAAGTTGTATTCTTTAATTTCGGAAATTATCTTTTGATTTTTTAATTATATTCAGAGTTCCGAGGTAAAAGATAACCGTTATTGCTAAATTAGACATTGCTTTATCGACAGACATAGTTTGCTGATCGTTAAATGTGAATGGATCATACCAATACTTATCTCCATCTTAGATGCAAATTTGTAGGCTTGAACCTCAACATCTTTTAAGTATCAATAGCTGCCTTCAAGTTTGCTGTAGATATACATATGGGTACTATATACGGCAATACTTGATTTGAGCCCTTTGACTGTGCTTTTAGGAGCACTCAAGCATTGGCTCGCCACATCGCATCAAGTTAGCTTGCACAAAGAGGAACTCTAGTTTTAATAGCTTTAGGTTTCGCTGTCTCCTTCAAAGAAATGCTAATCATTAGGCGTACAGGCGGTGAGATTGAAAGATTGGTAAAACTTTTACGGAAACGTTTCAATTGATGAAATAATTTTATGGCGATGATTGCCTATCACGTAACCAAGTGCACGAGTGGTTTCAACGTTTTCAAAGTGATCGAGAGGAAATAAATGATCGTAAGATGGTGAGACATAAATATCGCATTTTGACCGAAACAAATTGACTGACGACCAAAAATTGCTCAGAATCCAACATTCGAAGGATGATTATTTAACCAAAAATCACATTTGATGATCATCATGATTTGGCACCGTGCAACTTATTCCTTTTCAGAAAAATGCAATTGCTCATCAAGGGAAAGAGTTATGCAGACGTAGAGGCCTGTTTACTTTGGAATGCACCTTGTATATGTATATTAGGGAGCGTCGTTTTACAGAGAGTCAAAAAATCGGAAAAATCGGGTATCCGAGAAATATTATACGGATTATTCTGAACAACTGTGCCTAAGAGATTATGTGTTTGGAACCGGTTTCGAACCACGGATTTTTAAGGCGAATTTTCTTTGAGATCACAAAGTTTTGTGCGTGAATGGAATTTAATACGTATGTGCACTTTGATATTTTATTGATCATTTTGATATCACATTTCATACAACCGATTTGTTAGATCTTTTAGGTTAGGTTAGGTTAATATGGTAGGCCAATAAGCTACACATAGACCTAGTTTGGTCCCGTGGGTCACCAGATTAACTTTACTTGCTAAGTCCAAGAGGAGGAGTCATCGTTTAGAATAATTTAAGTAATTTAAAAGACTCTGCTGCTCCACTATAGTTGAATTTTTCTTCGCCTAAAAATCGCTGGTTTTGGACTCATAGTTTCTCAGCCAAAGTTGTTCAGAGTGATCTGAAAGAAAAAAGTCGACTCGCTCTAATGAATTTATATGAGACCAAACCACTATTTTGTCGAGAGATTGAGCCATAAATAAAATAATGAATTTCTCTGGTTTTGAAGTTAGCCTCCAGTGTCGAAATAACTGACTTCGAATTTCGAATCATCATATATTGTAGTCAGCATTACTAAATATAGAATGTAAGCTACTAGAAAAATAACTTTCAATAGTGAATAGTTTTTTCTCGGTGACTCTTATACTTGTATGATAGATGTTATAATGTGAAATGTTGGGGCAGTATTTTCGAAATATAAAATTTCGAAGATGCGACTCTAATCCTTATGGAAACTGTTATATAAGCTCAAGCGACATATTAGGTTGTCAAAAAAGTCTTGCGGTATTTTCGCTAATTAGCGCTGAGGGCGCGTAGTTCTAGTTTTATACGTCGCATCGGGCCATGCTATACCTTTTTGGAACGCTAACACGTTGTTGAATTGATTGTCGTTTCTTTTAAGTCGTTCGTGAGTTATAGCGTCGCAAACATGGAGCAAAATAAAGAGAAAATACGGCATATTTTACAGTACTACTACGTTGAAAGCAAAAATGCGTCTCAAGCCGCCAATAAAATTTATGCAGTTTATGGACCCGATACAGATTCCATTTCCACCGCACAACGATGGTTTCAACGTTTTCGTTCTGGTGTAGAGGTGATCGAAGATGCGCCACGCTCCGGAAGAACTGTCGTCGAAAATTGCGATAAAATCCCTAAATTGGTCGAAAGAGACCGGCATAGTAGCAGCCGTAGCATCGGTCAAGAGCTGGGCACGAGTGTTTTTTTATTTTTATGAGCAATTGAAAATTCAATAAAAAGACCGCAAGAATTTTTTGACAACCTATTATTATGTCACATTGAAATGAAATTGGATGGATTATTGTTATTAAATTTATATAGTCTAACTTAGTTCAATTCACTACGATATATATATTCTAACTAATTTTCACCAATTTTATAGTTTAATTATATGCTAATACAGCCTTTTTTCCCCATTTACACAACCTTTTCTTTTTAAACTGGCGAGCTTGTGTCATTCGTGACCAATATTTAGGTAACGCTAAATGGTTTTAGTAAATAGTAGTGAAATTGCACAATTGGCAATGAGCTGAGCACTTTTTAGACACAGCGACGGTGATTAAGTATGCACCAAACCGATTAGCTCTATCAAGATCGGAGCGATAAGCTGCAACTCATCCGCGTGTTAAACGGCAACTGGAGCAGTCAGCTGCTTTATTACCTCATTATATTACGGCATAGAATTAAAAACTCAATAGGTCATATTTGCACGCATGGAAGATTGTACGAACATATATATATACAGATGGGTGTACAACATGTATAAGCAGTCATTTGTGCGCTTACGCATTTGGTAAAGTTATATGGTTTAAAAATAGCTATCTGCTTACCGTCGCAGCGAAAACAATTTCGAGAGCTCGAACATGTTTCTTTTCCACTGTTTTTTTTTTCGCTAACGAAATGAACAAAATATGTTATTAAGGCACGTCACACGTAAATTGCACTAAAAATAGTCGCTAAACTTGCTGTTGCCGAAAAGTTTTGTATATGTCTTGTGACGTCAAAGCCTACGAAAACGCTTGCTGGCGTATGAAAAAAGCTAAAAATGTACAACAATTGCGTTTTTTTTTTATAGTTTTATCGACCGTCCGACAATGCGACTAAACGACCGATCAACTCAAGACGACTACACCGAATGTCCTTTAGCCACCGTCCAAGAGTGCTGACGCTATACGCTATTGAAGCGTGCTGTTGAAGTATATAAATACAACAACAAGTCATTGTGTAAACAAAAATTATTGTATTTACCAAGTCAAGGAGTGTTTGTGGTGGGCAGACTGTGTATGTGTATGAGTGTGTGTGTGTGTGGCGAGTGGTAAGTGTCGCTAGTCATATGGGACCAGCTGTTTGCGTACTGTATTCCAGCGTTAATTAATGTGATTGTGTGTGTATGTCCATGAGTAAGTGTGTGAGTTTCAACATGTATATGTATATGCGAGTGTGCATGTGTTTTCCCCTTTGTAATGTTTGGTTGGCCGCATACATGCAGTTGTTGAATTTCAATTAGTACAAGTTACTCATACGCCATGTAGCAGCTTGTGCTATGCATATCGCCAGCAGCGTGCTGACGTTTATTGCGAATTCCGCACACATGCATGCAAATGCATATAACCATTTCTGCAGTTTGCTTATTGCTAAGAAGACTTTTCGGTCGGTTTAACCTCGCTGCCCTTGCAATTCTTGGCATTGCTGTTTGGATCTCAGGCGCCGTCATCGCACGTGCGTACCAGGCATTAAAGTCGGCACGCTGCAGTTGAGAATGCGTGTTAACTTTGCTTTTAGCATTTTTTTCGTGCAATATTTTTTCAGTTAATTAACTTGAAGTTTTGTTTAATAACAAGTTACATGCGTGAGAAAATGCGCGAAGTAATTATTGGGTTGCACGCATGGAAAATTTATATAGACCCAAGAGAGCATAAGAGAGACAAGAGTATGCAGTTAAAGTAGAAATATTGCGTGAGTGTGAGTGAGCAGTGCAGTAGCGGATTCTCTAAATGCCGCTTGCATAAGTGTTCGAAACACATGATTCGCTGAAATACTTATTATTACCCTTCTAATAATGGTTTTACTAGATCGGCTCGTAGCAAACTTTTCGATATCATATTCGTAGTACGATTTGTCCTTTGGTTCAAAAAATGAAAAATGATGAAAATCTCTTCCCGGCGATCACTATTTTGAGATCTGGGAACAGAAAATAGTCGGTGGGGGCAAAATATGAAGAATATTGTGGATGCGGAAGCAATTCGAACCCCAACGGTAGATTGCCTTGGTGTTGCAGCATTTTTTTTTTACAGATGCTGTCGTTTTTCGAAGATTTCAAACGATTCAGTCACAGCGACATAAAGACAATTGCTTGTGCTGTCAAAAGCAGCTTTGAAGTGGACGAAGAAGAGGTGTATTAATCTTCTTTCACGCGTCACAGTTTCCAAGATTTGGCTTATGGTGAAAATCTAGTATATTTTAGATTCTCCAGATTTAAAACCACACCGATCAGTTTGTTCTCGGTGTGATTAAGTCTTTAATATAGTACACTCGATAGAACCTTATGTACGATGTTGTCCCACGGTAGTTAGCGCAGATTGAGGAATTTCCCTTTTTGTGTATTGGTCAGAGCACATACAAAGTACTTTCCAAATTAAACAGGACTTTAAAAAAACACAGAACAACTAATAATACAACTAATATAACTGACATAACTCTTTCCCTTGATGAGCAAATGCATTTTTTCGAAAAGGAAGAAGTCGCAGGAATACGAGGAGTGGTTTAAGGTTAAAATGTGATTTTTGGTCAAGTAATCATCATTCGAATGTTGGATGCTGCGCAATTTTTGATCGTCAGTCAACTTGTGTAGAACAAATCGTTACACATACCTTTCGTAAGCCCAAATGTTCGGTCAAAATGCGATAAATCGACATTTTGGAAATATTTAATTCCATTTCCATTAATTTCAATGATGATTTCGGCTGATTTTTGATGAAATCACGCACAGTTTCGATGGAATTTCCGGTGGTCACGGATTTTGATTGGCCCACAAGTTGATCGTTTTTATGTCCTCACGACCGCTTTGGAAACGTTGAAACCACTCGTGCACTCTGCTACGGGATAGGCAATCATCGCCATAAACTTGTTTCATCAATTTAAACGTTTCGTAAAAGTTTTACAAATTTTAAAATAAAATTTAATGTTGGCTCTTTGTTCGAAGCTAATTTTCGCAGCGATAGCACAAACATACTGAAACTTAAAACGCAATAACTTCATTTCCAATAAATGAAATGTCATGAAATACTCACTGGAAAATCGATAAAGATAGCAGATTCTAACGTATCAGTCGACATAGAGATGCGACCCCCGAGAGCGCTAGATTCAGAAAGTCCTGTTTACTTCAGAACACACATTGTATATGAATAATGTAGAAGGAATAATCAACTTATTTCACCAGAAATATATTCATTCAAACTCTAACATGACTTACGACACCAACCTTAGAATTATTGAATAACTCCCCACATAAATCAAATAATTTTCCAATAGTAATTGACTTACTTAGTAAATTATAACTCATAAATATAAATGACTCTCAAGTTTTCATATTTGGAATGAGAACAACGCTACACCAGTTGGCTTATAATCAGGAAATACTTAAGTGGTGCAGAAAATTGCTGGTCATTGTCGGGCTAGAGGGCAAGAAGGCAAACGCTACGAGTACAAAATTGGCATGCAGCCGAGCACGTATTTATGCGCTTTCACACTCATACAACTAACCAAAGTGTAGGACAGTAATAGTAATCAAAGTAAAGTGTTTGTATATATATATTTCGGTATATTTTTGTGTATTTAATGAGCTGTGCACCGCAAATCAGTTTGTAATCATTTGGCTCGCGGTCACCGTTTCACATTTATAACACTTTAGCGTGCGGTCGGCTGCCTTCTGTTTCACACTCAGCCACAAATATATATATATATATATATAATAAACAACAACAAAAACTCATTGTAATAACCATATCAGTAGCGGCGTATCTTGTGGTCGGCTTTTGACCTTTGTGTGAAAATAGAAAATTGTGGGCATTGTTTCCATGTAAATATATTGTTGTACACACAAATAGTTGTTGTTGTTTTGCTGAATGTTAGTTACTGAAGTATTCCTGTTAATTTTTTCTATCAAAGTTCAAGCTCGGTATAATTATTTAGAAAACATATTTATCACAATTTTAGTTGCCTCAATCGCTGTGGCGCCCCTGTGGCGCTTTGTGCTACATTTTATTGTGTTATTGCTGCTTAGTGTTACTTTTCCTTTAAGTGATTTTACTCACATTCCACATTTCTTTGCTACATTCCAGCGCTATTAAAGAAATTTGATTTGCATAATTTCTATAGTCAAATTTTGACTTTATTAGTTGTAAAACATTTCTTAGCAGCTACATTCTCTCCTTGAGAGGGCAAAGTGCATTTATGAACCTCGATTGAAACTATATTTATGGCCCGAACACTTGATATCTGCTTTGTAAGTAGTACTAACTTCGGAAATTCCTAAAGAGATATTTAGAAAGTCTTTTTCTTCAGATAGGCAGTTGTATTTTAGGATTTTCCCAGAATTATTCAGACCTTTATGCACTGAACATTTATCGTTAAGCATGTCAATTGACCCCCACAAAAATTTTAACTTAGAGAAATTTCGCAACGTTGTACAGGATCTACAGTTACTACATCCTATTAATTAGCTGCAATGTAAAACGAGTTTTCATTGTGTGCTTGGAGCTATTTATATTGTCTTAGAGAAATTTGGCAACATTATATAGGAACTCTAATCACTACGGCTTATTAATTAGCAGCAGTGCACAGAAAGTTTCTATAGTGTGGTTAGAGCCCTTTAGTTTAAAGTATGTCAACTGTGCATTGACGCTCAGAAATATTAGCTTAGAGAAGTTTGGCAACATTGTACAGAACCTTCAGTCATTACGGCATGCAAATTAGCTCACATATATTATCGTAGTGAAATTTGGCAATATTGCATAGAATCTCCACTCACTATGACGGATTAAGTATCAGCAGTGTATAAAAAGTCTGTATAGTGTGGTTAGAGCCATCAGCTTAAAGCATGTCAACAGTGCATTGATCCTCACAAATATTATCTGAGAAGTTTGGCAACATTGTATAGAATCTCTAATCGCTACGGCGTTTTAATTAGCGGCTGTGTATTTAAAGTTTCTATAGTGCGGTTAGAGCCATTTAGATTTAAGTATGCTAACAGTGCATTGACCCTCCCAAATATTATCTAAGAGAAGTTTGGCAACATTTTAGTAACTTCTAAAGTATACTTGGAGGCCTTGTTTTGGTCCAGTTGGATCTTTAAAAAGCTATATTCTCTTCAGAATTTCCGAAAATAGATTTTTTTGCTTTTATGTCGAACGTACATATATTTCAGAGTCTTAAAATTTTCACAGATGTTTTTTTTATTGTATTCATTTGGCATTTCTTGCCGCCATACATTTTTATTCACAGTTTCTTCTGCAGATCGGATACGTGATCAAGGGATTCTAATTTCTTTTTTAAATAACTAAAACATAATTAAAGTTAATTGAGTTCCCTGCTATAAAAAGTCTAAAAAAAGTTTAGTTTTCTCTGACTCTCAAGTTGATATAGCCTCTTATGAAATTATTACTCCACACTGGATAAAAGAAAGTAAGTAATAGTGATACAGAAGACAACAGTTCGCCGTTCAGTTTCATGTGAATTGTGTACTTTCTTCTTTATATAATTTTCTTTGCTTATTTACTTACTCATTTTTCTACTTTTACTCATTTAATTTCGCTCAATTTTTGGCACTTGATTTATTCGGAACATTTAGTTCAGTGTGAGTACGAATGTAAATATAAATCCGAGTGTGGTAAGTGGTCTGCCTCATTAGCATTTCTTGGTAGAGGGAGAATTAATTCGTAGTAACTGCTGGCGACGTTGTA